TATGATACAAAAGAGTGGAGGCTAGAGTACAAGATAAATAATGAAACAGTCAAAGGCGAGCTTATTAACGTGGCATGTTGTGAGTGGGAGTACGGCATATTCTTCACTTCACAACATACGACAGAAAGTTATAGGATTACAATCTCTGTGGATTTTAGATTTGGCTCCATGAATCAAGTAAAATTGTTTCCAGCCAGGCGCTTCAGAATTACTAGCATCTTGAGCTACACTGGGACCTTAACATCCCTAAAAAATTATGGGAATTTGGTGCAACCTGAACCTACTACTGGAAGCATCAGTGTCTAGAATATTGTGATTGGCCGACATTGTTTGATGCAGCTGCAACTGCATGGTGAGGAAAACTTGGGATGTAGACGTTTTTGTGGATTTTTCCATTTTAATGTATTTATTGTTTTCTAGACTTGGCAAGTGTCTTCGCCCATGAGCGGTAGGTCTCGGGTTCGAGACTTGGGAGCAGCCTCTCCATAAATGGGGGTAAGGCTAGCCGACATTCACCTCTCCCAGACCCTGCGTAAAGCGGGAGCCTTGTGCACTGGGTACGACCTTTATTGTTTTCTAGACTTCTGATTTGTTTTGCTTCTCATTTGGATGCTTTGATGATGCAAACTAAGGACATGGAAATGTTATAAATTATATAATAACTGTGGTTGTAAAGAAATAACAATGGTATATATTCAATCAAAAGTAGTATTAGTTCAATGAGCCATTCGTTAAGGATACAAGTTTCAGGGATGCTAGACACTTTCCAAATCTTTTTGAAGGGCTTTCTCACTCTCCATCGTTAAGGATACAAGTTTCAGGGATGCTAGACTCTCCGTATTGTCTTTGAAACCTTGACCTTTTAGATATTTCAACAAATCATCTTTTTTTTCTGCATGTTATCGTCTGATAGAATGATGTTTCCATCACGATATCTCTTAACAAAGTCGAGCTTGCTTCTCAATTCCGAAGCCTTATCTGCGTACAAAAAAAACTTAAAGCCAGAAGAAGAAAGTACCACAAGCACACGATTGAGAGATAGCTTATAATAAGCAGCAAGGGGTCCTGTCTGTAGTTTAACAAAAGAGAGGTACAAGTTAAACCATGCACTGATATCTCTTATAGTCACATTAGTTACATAACCAGTAGCATTAATAGCTCCAAGCCTCTAACATACAAAAGTGAAGCAGTTAAATTCAAGAAGGAATTGCGAATGGGTTTGGAAGTGTGCTACAAGGAATGAAATGCACAGAACAAATACCATCTCAGTATATTCATTGAAATCCCAGTGGCAGTAATAAACATAAATAGCAAGGCTAGATAAATGAATAACCTTTGCAAATAGAAGTACAATAACATAATTCCGTCAGATGTTAAAAGAAAGTATATCAGTCACTTACAGATTCATCTCTCAAATTCATTCAAGTTTGAGGCTTTGCAAGAAAAACCGGAACTTCGTCACCCACGAAACCTGAAATAACAAGCTTCCCTGAACTTCACAAACAAACATGAAAAATGACAATAAACAAAGTAACATCCGCGAAGATTTACATGCCTTGCCCAAGCATAGCTTTGCATTGGACCGTGTTCATTGCAATGCCTTACGAATCAGCGAACGCATCAATCATCTAAAACCCCGCCTGCTTCAAACAAACAAAAACGAGAATCTGAAACTTGTTATCGAAACAGACACAAAAACTAAAAATCTCGAATTGTAGCCACTAAATGTATAATCTGGAATAATACGTTGTCCCAACCACCAAATTAAAAGAATATTATTTTTCACTATGCCCTGTATTTGTTTGTAAAATTATTTTCACACCATTTTTAGCTTTTCGTGATTTAATTTCTATTTTGAAACCGAACAAATTAAAAGAAAATAAAAGTCAAGATTAAAGGGTGTGAGAAAGGCTACAGGGAATTTCTTAAAGGCGTATGATCTCTTGGAATGGAATTTCTTAGAACAAATTATGCGACGGATTTTTATTAAAAGAATTAAAATCCAATATGGATTTTTAGTGATTATTTGAAATTGAACGTGTATTCAATACATTTTAAGATAGTTTCTTAAATGTTTAAAAATCCGGATGTGTTGTAGTCCATTTTAACTGATAAGGGGAGGGGGGGGGAAGGGGGTCGGCGACAGAGAGAGGAAGTAGGGAGAGATATGTGTTTGTAAAATTGTAGGGGAATGTGTGTGTTATCCCTCCTACGTAGTGCCTTTATTTATAGTAATAAGGGGAAGAAATCCTTCATCCCCAAGGAATACAAGTTGTAATAGGAAAGGATAATTAGAATCAAATCTAATCTAGGATTTACACAATCACACTTTAATAGGAAGTTTACAACACTCCCCCTTGAGTGTGTAAATACTCAAGGTAGATTTAGCATCATGCAAAAGTTGAGGAAGTCGACTCGTCGACACTGATTCTAAGAAACGCACTATTCTCAAAGGTAGGAACTTGCATAAGTAAGTAAGTCTCACCAAAAACCCTAAAGCTATGGCAAAAACCCGAGTAGGGACAAAATTCATAGTTTAAGGAGAAACGCGTGAGCAATGCAAAGTCAAATGAAACGTCTACAGGACGTCATCAGGGATATGACCAGCTCAAGATGGGTGCCTCATTAAAACCTAGTTAGGTAGCAAAAACCCAATGGGAAAAATGCTGCTAAAAAAACCCAATGGGAAAAATGCTGCTAATCATAAAGAAAAAGAGTACATTAAGATCAATCAAGTATACTTCAAGATACTCCCACTGAGTTTGACACAATTCCAAAGAGAAATAGCAATGTTACAACTCAGAAAGTTTACGCATACCAATTCCTTGAACAAGCTTCTGAAACGTCGTCTTCGGCAGTGATTTGATGAAAAGGTCGGCCAAATTGTCTTGTGAACGGATTTGCGTGACTTCAATCTTCTGATGCTTTTATTGTTGACGTGAGAAGAAGAACTTTTGCACAATGTGTTTGGTGTTGTCTCCTTTAATGTAACCCTTCTTGAGCTATTCGAGGCATGCCGCGTTGTCTTCATAGATCGCCATCAGGACATCCACAATGGGGTAAAGATCGCAGAAGTTTCGAATGTGGCCCACTACTGTTTTCAACCAAAAGCATTCCCGAGTTGCTTGCAATTCATTTAAGGCATGAAAAGAGCAATCAAATCAATGAGGTTTACAACAATATGTGAGTGATCATCCAAAAGGTGTAACTGGTTCATCGGCTTATTTGACTAATCCATCACTCACATATTGTAGTCTCTCTCTAATGACATTTCATCCATGAATGTTCTGCAAATCATTCAATCTCATACAAAGTAGGTTTGTGTAACTCGATACCAAATTTTCCTGTCAATGATTGATTGGGCAACCCTTCCATGTTGTCCAATCTATTCTCAACCTTTCCCTATTGTCCAATCGATGTTGTTGCGAAGAAAGCTGGGATTGATCTTCGCAAGTTATGATTCTTGGTTTTATTGTTTTTTGTTGTAAGGCATGCTTGATCACTGATCAAACTTCTTTTTGTTTCTACTCTACCCAAATATTGTGTTCAATCTTGATTGAGCTTTAGTTTTCATTACTGCAGCCTACAAGTTCTTGGTTGATCTCTAATGAATGTGCGGAGCATTAAGTCTATTTCTACAACTGCAATATAGTTATGTTGTTTTTTTTAATCTAAAATCAACATATATCGATCAAACAATTTTTAATCATTTTCAAGAGCCACAATATTATTAGTGGGTTTATTAATAAATTTTAATTTTATTGTTATTGTCATCTTGTACTTGATAGTAATTATATAATAGGGTAAAAAGGAAAATTACATTTGAAATTTAAGTTGGGTGTTGAGTAAGGTTATATAGATTCAAATAAAATTTTCCAAGAAAAAGATGTCTAGAAGTTGACTTAATGAAACTTGAGGAGAAAAGAAAAGCAAGTTTATTATGGTAGACATTCTCTCATCCCTTATTTTTTTTTACTCTAGTCTGGAGGTTAAGGTCACTCCTGCTAAAAAAAGATTCTAGTTCCATCCCTGCATACGTTGAGAGCTTCATACAACAACTCACAGATGGGAAAACATACTTAAAGATGCGACGATGATAATCGTAGCATGAGTTCATGTCCGTGAATGATGATAAACAATGCAAGTGGATTAGGAATAATATGATAAGAGAGAGAGAAAAAGAAAAAGAAAACATAAGGTTTGCCACAATATTGCATCGGTGTCTAAATTGCATTCAAAATGGAAGTTTTAACGAAAAGTCTATGGTGCTGTTCACTTTAACGAAAAACCACATTTTTACACTAAAAAGTGAAATCTGGTACTATTCACTTTACCTTTTATTTTGTCCTTATCATTAAAACTCAAAAGTTTTCAAACATTTTTCATTAGTTTTTCTATTAAAAATTGGGTTCGTCCAAGAGATGGTTGGCATCTTATGTGATTGGATTTTTTTGACTGTTGGATGTGGGGGATAATGCTCATAAATACCGGAATAATCACTACCTCTGACTTCACAGGTTTTCAAATCTGGAAGAGATCCCTTCCACCTAATCTACCAAACCAACAAATCCGGATTTTTAAAATTTGATCAAACAATTACAATTATTATAACTTGTAAAAAAGTCTTCTGTTTGTAGTCATTTAATCAAATTTCAAGGGTCCGGATTTGTTGGTTTGGTAGATTAGGTGGAAGAGATCCCAAAAGGATCTTTCCTTCAAATCTGGATCTGATGTATAAAAAATTATTAGAACCAGTCAACCTTGGTGTTCTTGTAAATTAATAGTGATTAAACACCATCGATCCCATTAATTAGTTCATTTGACTAGTTTGCATTATTGGATTTTGTTTAACAATATCGAGTTTGCATGATCAAATATGTTATGTTGAGTACTAGCTGTGACGACAGGTAGTTATTGGATTTTGTTTAACAATATCGAGTTTGCATGATTGAATATGTTATGTTGAGTACTAGCTGTAACGATATATATTCATTTCTTTGACTTTTTATATGACAGTTTGCCTGGAAGTCCTCTCGGAACAACCACCTTGATGAAAACTTTTATATCCAGAAAAGAATGAAATGAAAAACCTCATCTGATTCGCTCCCTGGCTCTGTAGTGTAACTATGGGGATGGAGCATTATAGCTTCTATCTCAACTTCTTGTTGGGCTTTATTGTTTTCGTCATATCCCTCTCTCTCTTAGCATTGGTGCTCTTGTACAGGCACAGATCGCAGTTCAAGGGAAACAACCTACCCCCGGGCAACGTGGGGTACCCTTTGATCGGAGAGAGCTACGATTTCGTGTCCGCGGGATGGAAAGGTCACCCGGAGAAGTTCTTCTTCGACCGCATCGCTAACTACTCTTCTCAAATATTTAAGACATCCCTCTTTGGGAAGCAAGCTGCCTTCTTCTACGGCGCGGCTGGCAACAAGTTCTTGTTCTCCAACGAGAACAGGCTCGTCAATGTTTGGTGGCCCGATCACGTCAACAAGATTTTCCCAACTTCCGCGGACGTTTCTGCAACGGCGGAGGCCAAAAAGTTGAAAAAGCTGATTCACAATTTCATGAAGCCTGAGGCTTTGAAACGGTACATCGGCATCATGGACGCTATTACCCAGAAGCACTTTGCAAACAGTTGGGAAAACAAACAGCAAGTTCATGTATTCCCCCTAGCCAAGAAGTAAGTAATTCTTCTCTATCTCATAACATGCATAAAATATAGTTGCAGAGTACACGTCGTCTTACATATATATATATATATGCATGTTAATATGTTATAGGCTTTTTAGCCAAAATGGTCCATGAGATTTACATAACTCATCACTTTGTCTCTGAGATTTGAAATTAATAAAAGTTCCATAAGTTTGTCCACCATCAATCATTTTGGTCATTTCTTGAAAATTATGTTAAATAATGACTAAATGACAAAAATATCTTCAATTTAATAAACAATTGGAAAAAATGATTTGACAAAAGTTGAGGGTATTTTGGTCATTTTATCATTATTTAATGGAGATTTTTTAAGGAATGACTAAAATAATTGATGATGAACAAACTCAGGAACCACTTCTATTGATTTCAAATCTCAGGGACCAAAGTAATGAATTATACAAATATCAGGGACCATTTTGGCTAAAAAAACCATATCATTCAAAAATATCAATATCGTGATTAGTATTAATTTGATGAAATTTCATTTATATAGGTCCTTTTAATTTTAATTAATTGGGCGATTGGAAGGAATGATCATTTGTTTAATTATAGTCTGAAAACACACACATATAAATAATATGTCAAAGAATGAAAACATATTAATCAAGGAAACTGTTATTAGCACTCTAAAAACTCATTCTACACTCCTCACAAGTGTATTCTTGGAGTGCCAAACGAGATTTTTGAATTGCTAATCACAATTCTCTTAATCAATTATCTCACAAATATACTTTCTAATTAATCAATTATCTTACATACACACACACACACACACACATATGTACAGCATGTAAATGCTACTTTTATTGTGTATACATAATATTACTGCAGCTACACCTTGGCGATCGCTGCACGTTTGTTTCTTAGCCTCGAGGACCAAAAGGACATAGACAAACTAGGCCACTCTTTGTATCTGGCTAACGCCGGAGTCATATCGATGCCTATTGACTTTCCTGGGACCCCGCTTCGCAAAGCCATCAAGGCCTCCAAACTCATCAATGGGATGTTGACGGAGATAATAAAGCAGAGGAAGGCTGATTTGGCTGATGGCAAGGCTTCTCCGACACAAGACATTTTGTCACACATGCTCATGACATGCGATAAGGATGGAACCTATATGAAGGAATTGGATATCAGTACTAATATTATGGGGCTGTTAATTGGTGGTTATGAAGCTACTGGTGCTGTTTGCATCCTCATTGTCAAGTTTCTTGCTGAACTCCCTCACATCTACGATGCAGTCTACAAGGGTACGTAATTGCACTAGATGCTCCATAATTTGGGCACTTGGGTTAAATGACATCCAAATTACTAAAAATAATACTTACGGTTTCGTTGTTGTTGGATGCTAAATCAAATACTAATTACAGAGCAAATGGAGATTGCAAATTCGAAAGCCCCTGGAGAGTTGTTACACTGGGATGACATTCAGAAAATGAAGTACTCGTGGAATGTAGCTCAAGAAGTGATGAGATTGACACCACCAATTCAAGGATCCTTCAGGGAAGCCGCAACTGACTTTGTCTTCAATGGATACACAATTCCAAAGGGTTGGATATTATATTGGAGTTCTATCACAACGCACAAGAGTGTAGATTATTTCCAGGAACCCGATAAATTTGATCCGTCGAGGTTTGAAGGAACCGGGCCAGCACCATGCACTTATGTTCCATTTGGAGGAGGGCCAATGATGTGCCCCGGCAAAGAGTATGCCCGGATGGAAATACTTGTGTTCATGCACAACCTGGTCAAGAGGTTCAAATGTGAGAGACTTCTTCCCCAAGAGAAAATTGTAATGGACCCATTGGCCATGCCTGCCAAAGGACTTCCAATCCGCCTTTTCCCTCACAATCACATTAATTGAAACCACCATAACCATCAATTTGTTTGATTACACTGAGATATTAATTTCAATAATTTGTGGTTTTCACTTTGTACAATGATGATGATGTAATAATGTGAATGTGAACTACACATTCTAGCAAGAATGTACTATATGTTGTGTTGATTTACTGCTAGACAACTATCCATCTTATCAAATAAATTTGGGTAAATTACACAAAATTGCCTCAACTATCGGTCAAATCACAATCGTATACCACATGTTTTAAACATTGCAATGTTATACCTCAACTTATGAATTTGTTGCAATGTCAGACCTCCATTAAATTCTTTGTTAATTTGGCTGTTAAATGATGACGTGGCAAGAGTAGAGCCTACTTCTTTGCCAACTGGAATTAAAAATTATTTATTATTAATAAATTATTAATAATATGGTGCATATGTGTACGAAGTTGTGTTTAAGAATGTAGTAGGTCAAAATACAGGAACCAAATCGTAGTTGTGTCTAAGTTTTTTTCCAGTTACAATTCGGGAGCCATTGGCAACTTCTAGGGAACCAAAATTGTTTTCAAGTCAAAATACAGGAACCAAATCGTAACTAGACTAGGAGACTACATTACCAAGGTAGGAAAGTTCAGTCTTGATTCATAGTTTGGCAACATAATATGTATGTAGGATGTTGTTTTAGAACCGCTTGGTAAGTGTTAAATGCATCCTATAAAATGATTGACTAACAAGCATGGTCATTCAGATATACATGCAATTGAGATCACTGACTAAATCAGATTTCTTTTATATTGAAGCAAATCTTGCCTATTAGGTGTTTGTGAAAATTCCCCAGAGAGTTACAAACAAGGATATGATGCAAATCTGAATGTAGGCTGTTTTGGTATGTGTGTGTACGTATAGGGGTGTTATATTGATATGACATGCTGCCTAACTCGTCTATTTTTAGACTGCTAGATCAAAGAAAGAATTTCAATTTATCAAGGATCAAGGTTTGGACTACCAGACAGTACACCGCCTTCGGTTTGAGGTATGGAATTCTCGTGCTTGCAATCTGGCCGCTTATGTGTTTAAATTTCTGGTTTATCAATATGCTCAAGATTTGGTTAGCAGGTAGTTATGCTAACAAATCAAAGTACTTTAAGAATCTGGTTGGTAGTCTTGGTGCCTTCCAGATTTGTGTAAAAATCTAGAGCCATCTGCATAGTGTTATGCTAATGAGCTGCAAGTAAAACTTCAGTAATAATGTGTTTTTGTATTTCTTTCTAGCGATCAGCTCTATGCGCTCGAAATTTGGCGATCAGGACTTGCCTTTGATTTTATTCGGTGCAGCAGAGTTTTGCATCGATTTGTTCATCTTCTTCCAGATTTCTGTTCCCTTTTTTTTATATATATATTGTTTTGGGATATGTGAATGTAATTTTTTGGGTATTTCTTTGCTTCAATTCTCTCTAATTTTTTGCTGTTTAGTTTGAACTCCCATCGCGGCATCATCATCTGCTCTTGCTGCTGATGCCTTTGACTGGTATTTCCCTATTTGCTACCCAAACAACAGTCCTTTCAGATACTACTTGCTTAGAGTACCATATACCAATATAGTAGTTTGAAAGCTGACCTGGTTTGAAGAAACCTAGCTCAAACATCCCACCTGCAGAGACAATGGTTTGATTGCCATAGAGAGATTGGCATGACATAATTAAGCTCTTTGGAAACAGAGTGTTCAAACACTTTTCAAAGTTTGAGTCCCAACATTTGTTCAAAATTGTATAAAAGATCACTTATAGATATTTGTAGTATATTCCTATATCAAAGATATTACAATTTGTTTCCTCACCAAAAAAAAAAAGGAAATATTATATTCAAATCGGGGTGCCCCCGGAGGCATCCCTTCTTTTTAATATTATTTTGCAACTTTGCCACCAATGTGAATTAGGGTGGCATTGTCTGTAGTGACACCAATGCAATATTGGTAGCTATTGTTACAATAGAGTCCTCTACATAGGACATGTTGTCTAGTTTAGTGGCTGCTTGGTGGTCATTGAGGTTTGCCACCAATGAGAGTGTCCACACTTGACAATAGACATCAATGAAAAAGGTGGCTTCTAGCCAAAATTCTATTAGTGTAAAAAAAGTAAGCTAAAATTCTTTGTAAATATGCTCTCTTGTCAACTCTAGGTAGTACTAATTACGCAGATCACAACGTTTCCTGATGAGGATTACGAAAGAGGCTTGGTTCTGTATATGATATGGAGACTGCTATTCAAGTTACTATATGGTGAAAAATCGGTTTTTTGTTCAAATTTAAAGTCTCACTGGTGTTGCTCAAACAAATATGCTATGTCAGACCTTCAACAACAAAATTTTATTTTACTAAGTGGGATTAGTTCTATAAATTCTAGAACGGCATTGTATTTTGTGTCACATTTTCTATTACATTCAAGAACTCAAAAGTCTTTTTTTTTTTTTAAGTCTATTTTTATGTCTTCGGAGGTCTTTGTCCCACCAATGGAGTGAAGAAATTTTTTTCATGTACCAGGAACATAAGGGACTTGGATTGTCTGCCCTCCTAGTTGTGGTGCCCTTCCATGCCCTCCTATTTTGTGCGGTCACGGTTAAGCCACGTCAATATTTTATATTTTTATTATTTTTTGTCTTATTATCTTATTAAAAAATTAATATAAAATATTGACGTCGCTTAACCGTGACCGCACAAAATAGGAGGGCATGGAAGGGCACCACAACTAGGAGGGCAGACAATCCAAGTCCGAACATAAGTTGACTTGGAATTCTCAAAGTACGAAGTTTTGTCACCTAGCAGTTTCAATTGAAAAATTGCCACGTTATACCAGCAAACCACCCACTTCAACCGGCGACACCCAATACCTTCTTTCTCCTCTTCTCTCTCTCTCTCTCTCTCTCTCTCTCTCTCTCTTATGTTGAAATCAACGTCTAAAATATCGATATTATCCCGATATTTCCATCGAAATTTCCGTGTTTTTTGACTACCGATATTTCCAATATCATCGATATTTTAGACCTTGATAGTAACTCTATGTGGTACTAAGTCACTCATATATCTTACCATGCAATGTATAAAGTGTAAAATATTATACTAATTCATTATATATAAATGATTATGGTGTGTTTAAACTTCTTTCACTAATTACTACATATTTTCTACACTCACAATGTTTGTCAGCTCGCTATATAATCAACTTAATCAGTTAAATCCATCATGCAATGCATTTCCTTTCAATTTTTTGTAATAAACTAATAGATAATTGACAAAATAAACATTCTACAAAGTTTCAATAAAAATTTTCAAGTTTTTCTTACAATTTCCGTGATTTTTATTCAATTTTTATCAATATCGATAATATCCCGATATTTCCATTGAAATTTTCGTGTTTTTGGACTACCGATATTTCCGATATCATCGATATTTTATACCTTGGTCGAAATGTAACTCGAGGATAGTCAATGGCACCCTCAGACTTGTTGTTTACAGCCTCCGATTCAAGGGCTTGTGAGGTTAGCGGAATCCCCATCAGTTAAATCATGTTTTTTGTTAGGGATGTGCTATCCACACATCCCATTTTATTTCTCACACTCTCTTGATAATTTATATCCATTGATTTTCTTTAATTCATCCGATCAGACAACCGAAAATTAAAAAAGTGTATAAGAAGTAAAATAGGGTGTGTGGATATCACACCCCTTTTGTTATATTAAATTATTTTTATATTTGATTGATCTAAAAAATGATAAAGCATGATTAAAATTGTAAAGATGAGATTGATGGATTTACGAGAGGAATGGTGGCAATGGTAGCCGGCGCGGATGGGGAAGAAGAAGAAAGGCTGGGGGGGGGGGGGGTCTATCTCAGAAACTGGACTGTTTCTTTATTTATTTAGTCATAATAATTAATTGTTTTGAAGAGTTATCTATTTTAATTGTTATTTTACAGGTGTCAATAGTGATTATTGGAGAACACCACCTGTCATGCATATGTGTGTATATCCGTTACTTTGAAAAATTCCTCAGTGGTGATCTGACCAATGAAGTTTAGACAGGTAACATTGCGACGATTGGTTATTTTTTATTTTTTGAAGTAATTGAGATTGTTAGATGTTTAAAAAAATTTGTTACATGTCAAAATTTTTATTAATCAGATACGGCATGTCAATTGTATACTGGATTGGAAACACAATAGTTCATGTTAAATTATTTATGTCCCTCTTCGACCAGTTTTAACTCTTGGATTAAAATAAAAAAGTTTTGACTTATGAGAGTTTAGGTTTGAACTCAGAAATAATTTGCTGCTCCAACTCTTTCGGGTTAGATTTACATGCCTTGCCCAAGTATAGCTTTGCGTTGGACCGTGTATAGCGAACCAGCAAAAGGATCAATCATCTGAAACCTCGCCTGCTTCAAACAAAAAAAGGAGGAATCTGAAACTTGTTATCGAAACAACAAACATGAAAACTAAAAATCTCAAATTGTAGACACTAAATGTGTAATCTGGAATAGTACATTGTGCCTAGTTCCTTTGTACTTATCGCCGGGATTGCCCAGACCTACAAATAGCCATGGCCTCGGAGCAGCAGTGCAAAAGCAACGCCGACTTAACCGATTAAGCATCTTCCCCCTTAGCCTCAGTGCCTCCCACTACACCTCAGCACCATAATTCATCGGAAAAAAAAATGAACTGGAAGCTCGAAAGTCTCCAACCCACCTGCCACTCGCAACTTTTCGCAAACAGTTAGACTGCATTCAAAATGTAAACAGCGAGTGAATTTCCGAATGGAGTGTAAAATTACTAAAATGTTTGGAGACACAACGGAAACAAAGCCAAAGACAAGAGGCGTATTGCAGAATACAAAGAATATACTTGTCAAGTTTGAGATTAATACCTTGCCTCGCATAACCGGTGAGAGCGTCAGAGAGAAGGGGCGGGCTTTGGGTCCGGACGTTTTGGTGCTCTGAAGAGCAACCACGGCGGCGTACCGGCGGTGGTGAATTTCGTGAGACAGTCGTCGAGACTGCTAAAGTCACGGTTGCTGAAGGCCCAAGCGCACTC